CAGGTTGGCTATGGATTGTAACCCAAAATTGTAAATTAAAACATGGGATGTTTTTGTGATTTCGAGTCACAATGTATTTAACATGTGGCCCAAGACAACTCCTTCTTCCAGTGTGGCCCAGAGATGTCAAAAAGTTAAGACACCCCTGGAGGAGAGGAACAAATCTGCATCAAATTTTGTGTTACGCTTGAACATTCCTCCATGGAAACTATTCAGATGATTCAGAAGACCACAGCTATGGACAGCTGGTGATTGGCAGCTTCATCATGGCATTGCGCCCACTCATGCATCAGGTCTCTTGGAGAGTTTCTGGCAAAACATCAAATCACCCAGGTGATTCAGCCCCCCTTATACCCCAGATTTGACACCACGTGACGTCTGACTTTTCCCAAAACTAAAATCACTTGAAAAGGAAGAGATTTCAGACTGTTGATGAGATTTAGACTGTTAAATAAAACAGGGCAGTTGGAGATTTGGAGAACTGTGTGAGGCCTCAGAGTGCCTACTTTGAAGGGGACTGAGGCATCATTGTCCTGTGTACAATGTTTCTTGTATCTTTTTCAATAAATGTCTCTTTCATGGTATGTGGCTGGATACTTTTTGGACAGGCCTTGTATATCAATATTTTGGGTTAATTCTGTCTATTCCAGGGTTCCCCACTCTCTTCTGGAATTTAAGCTCCAGGAGAGCACTCTGCATTCAGGCTCTTCCCAAGGCAGTTCATGTGTGAAAGGGTATTTTTGAGGAGTGACTCTGGAGGGAGACGTGTGGGCTGAGGGAAAGAGAATAGAGACACCCCTGGGGACTTTCCTTGGCCCAAGCAGCTGCAGAAATTGGGGAGTAGTCTGGTTGGAGTTTGGCTTGGGTCAAGAATGCTGAGCTAGAAGATAAAGCCTGCCCAGGCCCCCATGCCTGAAGACCAAGCCTGGGGATGAGGCCTTTGACGACAGACACATGGCTTCTGGCCAAGGAGCAGCCAAAGGCACTCAGGCCTGGGTCTGAGGTGGGGTGAGGTGGAGCAGCTGTCCCACCTCACCCCACCTTAACGCAGCCTTATTTTTGTCTGTCAGCGACTGTGGTGGCAGCAGCTGCGGTGCATTTCCCCAGGCTGCTGATCCAGGCCATCTGCGGGCTGTGCGTCTCTCCCTCACCTATGCGCATTAACGCCCTTTCTGGTCGGTCTGCTCCACGCAGACCGTATCTCCTGGGGTCACTCGGTTCTCGGCCGGCGCCAGGGCGGGCGAATCAAGCCCACAGGTTCTCTTGGGCTCCGTGACACAGCACGCGGGCACTGACCCTCTCCCCGGGGCCCTTGGCCGCGCAGTACTTCCGGCTGTAGGCTTTAGTCCTCACCTGCAGGGCCCCTGCTCCTCTTCCACCCCCGCCGGGGCCTCTGCTCCCCTTTCCGCCTGGGGGAGAGGGCGCCGAGGTTTGCCCCGCCTTTGGCACCGAAGGGAACCCGTCCCCCTCAGCCTAGCCAGCCTCTCCCAGGACTCGAAGCAGGGGTGAGGACAATGGACTTCCCTGGGACAATATGTCTCAGGGTGTATGTAAGTTTGTGTAGGGGCGGGATGTGTCTTGAGTATCCCCCCCATTCCAGCCCGCACACCCTTGCACACCTTCGCGCACCCTCCGCCGGCAGCGGTTACGCAGAGCTTTTTGTGAATTGGTTTAAAAGGCCAGAAAGAACTCACAAACCCGAGTCCCTAGAAGTGTCCAAACTAAAATGTCGGTGTCTAAATCAGTTCGCTCTGCAGTAACATTTTCTAAACGAAAAAACCATCCCAGAAGTGTGTGAGACGGATGGATGCCCCACCCAAGCTCCTCCGCTTTGAGTTTCTTCCCTAAACTCCCACTTAGCTCACGTGCTAAGGATTGGGGGCTGGGGAAGTGGCAAGCACATCTCTGAGACTGTCCTCTGCACCGCCCCGGGGCCGAGGGTCGGGGGGGGGGGGGCGGTGGTTATTCTGAGGATCCCCGTATCCACCGCCCCCCCCCAACGCCCCGCCCTCCCCCACCCCCGCCACACACACACCCTGGTTTGAAAAATCCACAGACTAGAGGTGGTTTATTGAACAGATCTCTGTACCAATAAGAAGGGGCAATCTGGAGCAGGCCGGGTAGAGGAACTCGCTAGATGAGAGGCTGAGAAGGGCAGGGCCGGTGAGAGGTGTGGTGTCGGGATGAGAGATAAAATGGGGATGATGAAGAAAGGGAAATCTGAAAGGGGTGATGAGGGGGTGTGAGAAAGCTTCATTAAAAGGGAACTGAGCCCAGACTGGTGTGGCTCAGTTGGTTGGGCGTTTTACCAAAAAGCAGAAGGTCTCCTCCAGTCTGGGCACATGCCTAGGGTGTGGGTTCAATCCACAATCCTTGGACTGGGCGCATCCGAACAGGGGGTGTAGGAGGGGCAACCAATCAATGTTTCTCTCCCTCTCTTTGTCCCTTCCCCTGTCACTACAAATAAATAATTTACAAATTTTAAGGGAATTGAGACACCTTCCCAAGGGAGTGAAAATCCTAATGTGGAGACCTCTACAGGGGAGAGGGCCCAAGACCCCTGAAGTGTCTGAAAAGAACAATGAGGGGAAGCTGAGAGAGACTTGAGGAATTGCTTGAGAACACTGGGAGAGGAAAATCACTGGAGGGCAGTGGGGAATGATTATGTCTGTGGATCGCCCTGGGAAGGACCCAAGGCAGGGAGGGTTGGACCATGGTTGGGGGAGGAAGAGGCACACATCGGGGAACACTAGAGCCCTTCGGGCTGGGCTCCCAAACTGGGGTGGGGGAAGCCTATTAGACAACTGAGCTCCCCCCAAAACCAGAACCCAGGTTTAATCTCTTAATCTTCCTCATTAATCACTCACCCTCCTCCTACCCACTCCAAGGATCCGGTTTCTCCCCAGCTCAGATTCCAGATGCTTCGCTGGGAAAAGTCCCCTCCTGTGGCCCCACAATCGTCTGGACACATCACTAGCCGCTGGGAAGACTTTTAGTTGGGCTCTGCTGTCAGCAGCCTCCTCTCATTACTAGTCTCTCTTTCACTCTCCTCCCCCAAACTCACATCTGGGGATTGCCTAACCCCGTTGTCCAACCCTGTTACCTGAGCCCAGTTGCAGGGCAAAGAAGGTAGGCAGGAGAGATGGCAAAGGCCCTTCTGGAGAGCTCCACACTCCCCACAGACACACACTAGTAATTGAGAGCAGAAGGGATGACAAAGGCTACATAGAGGATGCATGAGTGGAAGTTGTAGTGTCTAGTGACAGGTCTGGGACATGAGCTAGCCAGTTCCTGCAACCTCGTGGGACCCTCTTTAATTTCAGATTAAGTGAAACCACCAGGACAGTTCAAAGGGTTAAGGCCTTCAGCTAGGAGGATCTCTCCTGGCCCTTCTCTGCTCCCCACCATTAATAACCTATTAACAAGGTCCTAAGGCATCTCAGCTTTCTGCTGTGGCCTAACTGTGCTCTCTGACCCATTGGGCTGAGCTGCTCAGGCTGCCACAAGGGCATTTTGTGAGTGTCTGTGTGTGTATGGGGGATGGGGTGGTCATTGGAAGGAGCTTTACTAATACCCTGTGTTTCTCCACCTTTGTTGGGTGGGCTAGGTCAGTGCCTCAATGTGAAGTTCCCTAACCACCGTGTCTTCCTGCCTCTGTCAAGGAATCTTTGGCCTGAGTGTCTCAGATCTCCCAAGCTCTGTTCGGGACATCCCAACTATAGCCTCTACTTGCTCCAGGGAATAAACAGATGGACTCAGAAGATCACTGCACAAATGGTGGGAGGTGCCGAGGTTTACGGAGACCAGGTGACAGGATGGACACTCCAGGACCAGCCTGCCTTCTTATGGCACTGTTTGAAAAAACCTAGAAGAAACCCATAGCAGAGAGTTCCTTCAGTGTGAGTTCTTCAGGAGTGGTGCAGCTTCTTTGTCTCTGGGCTGTGACTCCACTAGCTGTTTGAGGTGTGATTTACAAACAAAAGCCTTGCCTTGTTGGGCCTCCGCTGGTAGAGCAGCAATGTCCCAGAACTGTCTTATTCCTATAAAGGAAGGCTGTGGAGGTGCTTGCCCTGATGTGAGCCCCGCACTACATTAGCTGTGGGACAGAAGAGAGAATGACACACAGGACACTGGTAAAATAGAAATGACTCTCCCAGGCCTTAAGAGTTTGGCTTGGCAGGGGTTCCTGTCTCAGAATCTGGTTGGGTATATGAAGTCTGCTTCAAGTCACTCTTCTTTAGGGCAGCGGCCTCTCCCACCACTGCTCCTGCTTGGCTGTTTCTGGGTCTCCCCAGGCTAGGGAACCCTTACTGGGACAACAGGAGCTTAATTAAGGAGAAAAAGATATCCACCGATAGACTGATGTGTAACCAGAAGGCCCTCTGTGGAGACCCGTCTTCACTGGCCAAGACCCCTCCTGGCAGTAGCGCTAGCTCTGGGTTTGCTGTGTCTTCTCTCCTGAGGGCCAGGTCTCCGGCCCTTCTCCAGATGCTTTGACTTTCTCAAGGTATCTGATCTGTGCTGGTACAGGCTTGGGTCCAGTCGCAGAGCCGGCTGAAGTCCACTCACCTGCGGGTGCTTGCGCGTCGCATCGCTGTTATTTCCCATTGCAGTCGCCCTGCCTGGCTAAGTCCTTCCAAGTCTTGAGTCCCCCCAGCCACCCCCCAGCCACCCCCCCTTCCGCGCTAATAACTTCCAGCCGCTAGGACCTCTTTAAGAGTTTTCAGCAGAGGTGGGGCACGGACTGAGGGGGCCAGGTCAGAAGACTGAGGTCCTTCCTAGGTGAGATCGGGGATATTAGCACAGTCTCGGCTAGAGAAAGCAATTTTATTGCCGACGAGTTTATGAGCCGGAGCGGTGGCTAGGCAGGGGAACTGTGGCATGCAGCATCTGGGGGCAGCCCAGGAAAGGGTCCAGCCCGAGTGAGTACGGGGCCGCGCCCGGCAACGTGGAGCAGGAGCAGCTGTGGGCGGGTGGAGGGGGGGAGCGGATCTGGCGGGTTGTTCAACCGGCTTCTTCCACCGGCTTCTCTGCTGCGCCTCCATAGCCTGTAGAAATACCGCTGTCGGGACGTTTACCAGCTCCAGACCCACCGCAGCCCGGGGCTGGGGAGTGGGGGCGCAGGAGGAGGGGCACACGGGGCTCGGGCCCAGCGTGGGGGGCGGGTCCGAGGCGGGGGGCCCAGATTGGGAGCCGCCCGCTGGGGCCCAGGCAGCTGCAGAGCCAAGCGCAGCGGGAGGCAGGACCGCCACAGCCCGGCCAGCCATGAGCTCGGGACCCGAGCCCCAGACAGCGCGGACACCCTTCAGCATCGCAGACATCCTAGGCCCGCGCAGGGTTCCCCGAGGACCGTCTGCGTCGCAGCTTCCAGACTTGAGCCCAGGTCCTACGTCGCCGCTGTGCGCGCTGGAGGAGCTGACTAGTAAAGCTTTTCGTGGACTTGACGGGCACGCCCTGCAGCCCTCTGAAGGTACAGCGCCGGTCAGGTCGCGCCCTGCGACTTGGCCTTCTCCCCATCTCTCTCTTCCAAGTTCCCTGTCTCCACTTTCGTTTGCCCCGGCCACCACCCTCATCTGCCCCCTGCCCTCCGCCCACGTGCCGGGACTTGCATCTCCTGCTCCTCGCCTCCCCTCCGTTCGTTCCCAGGCTCGGCGGCTGCTCCCGGAGGCCGCCAGCGCTGAGAGGAAGGGCCGGGCTGTTGGGAACTCAGCGACCCGTGGGTCCTTTCGCTGTAGGCGGGGCAATCGCGACAGAGATAGGCCAGAGAGAAGGAGACAAAAGGCCTGAGCCGGAGGCTGTAAACAAGTGAGCCAGAGCAAGGGCGGCCCAGAAAGTGACGGGAGGCGAAGCTCGGGCCTCTTCGGGTAAACCCGCTCCGCTTCAAACCCCCTCTCTTCTCGAGAGGGCGCAAAGAGCAGAAGAACCTTGGAGCGGCAAGGGCCCCAGGACGCCGGACTCTGCCTTTCCTTGCCCTTTGTACCGCTACTACCTACCTTTTGCGCTTGGGGAGGGTGGGAGCGACACACTAAAAGAGAGTAAGCCGAGAGGGCCCGACACGACCCACAAATCTAAAGAAGGTCCGGGTTCCGATCCTATTACACTCACCGTGCCGGGTCAGCTGTCGCTACTCTGACCGTGGTTGGCCCTCTCCTCGGTGGCCGGCTCCGACCTGGGAGCTGGCTCTGTCAGGGGCTGCGGAAGGCCTCAAAGGCCCCGCCCCAGGAGGCCAGAACCTGCGCCAGGCCTCCTTTGGCCTGTCCCGCCCTCCTCCCCCGCCCCTCGTAAGATGCCCTCAGCCCGCTGCCTCCCGTTCCCCAGGGGCTGGTTCCACTTTGTGTCCCCACGCCCTTCTTTTGGCCTGACCTTCCCGCAGTTCGCAAAGGGACCACGATCTAGCTCCCGTCCCCTCACCCCCACCCCTGGCCTGACCTGATCCCCAGCTTTTTCTCCGCGCCGAAGCCCGATTCCCGCAGGCTGGAGACTGACCTCCGCCCTATCCCCGCAGGCCGAGCGGCCCCGGGTGCTCTGGGCCCGGGTCCGGCCAGCCGCAGACGGCGAAAGTCACGCACGGCGTTCACGGCACAGCAGGTGCTAGAGCTGGAGCGGCGCTTCGTATTCCAGAAGTACCTGGCGCCGTCCGAGCGCGACGGGCTGGCGGCGAGGCTCGGCCTGGCCAACGCGCAGGTAGTCACGTGGTTCCAGAACCGGCGCGCCAAACTCAAGCGCGACGTGGAGGAGATGCGCGCCGACGTGGCCTCGCTGCGCGCGCTGTCCCCCGAAGGCCAGGGTCGCTTCGCGCTGCGGGACGGCGCCCCCGACCTTGGCCTCCGTCCGAGCTCGGGGCGGCCTGACTCCGGGCTCCACCTGTCAGACGAAGAGATACAGGTGGACGATTGAAGGCAAAGCCACCTCCCTGGCTTTGGGGCCCTGGACCTTTTGGCTCTTCGCCTCCGCGTTCGGCGCCCTGTCTGGGTTCTGGGTGGAGGGCGGGTGCCGATCCCGGCCTCTTCCAGCGCACAGTCCAGACGCCCACCTTTCCTAGCTGTTGAGAATAAAGTCGAGACTCTACCGAACCACGACTCAATCCCGCTACCGGAGCAGTAAGAGCAAAATCTGCTGGTTATTTCGGATATCCCGTGCTTGACACTGTGCGGAGCGGTTTCCTTTAACCTCATAGCAACCCTACAAGGTAGGTGATATAATCATGGCCATTTCATAAAGGAAGAGTCCCTAAGTCAGGATTTGGGCCCAGGCATCCAGTCAGCATTCAGAGCTCCGGAGACTCGGGGCTGAGGGGAAGAGGGATGGAACTCTGGTAGCTGCGGCGGACCTCCCCTACGAGCTGCCTGGGTCGCAAGATTCTCCGCACCTTTGATCCGCCGCAGCCTCGGAGACCTTGTTCCTAACCTCTAGACCGGCCCCAAATTGACGACGGCCTGCCTGACTCTTTCCTCGTTCCCCAACCAGAGGTCATTGGTTAATAGAGTCGCGACACTTCTCCCCGCCCCCGCCGAAAGAACCCTAAACTGAGTTACAAAGTGACGGGAGCCTGGAGAGGGGGAAACACTCCTACTTGCGGGACCTCCACCCCACAACTGAGCCGAAAACGTTCCCTCTAGGACTGTGGCAGAGGCAGTGTCGGGAGGGCGGGGATGGCCCGGCCCGGGCCTGTGGAGGCGGAGCTTAGAGTAGCTGTCTTGCGGGGTGGAGAACCCAGTCTACCTGAGCTGCCCGATATTTCTGAGGTTAATTTATTCCACTGGAGATTAACCACCCACCTGCAGAGTGATGGGGAAGGGAGAAGAGCACTAGGTAGCTACAGACCTTCCCCTATGCCTGGCCTTCCCAACTGATCAGCAGGAGACTATGCATAGGCGTCTTTCCTGCTTCCTGTCTCTCCCTATCAGTCCCTCCACCCTCCTCAGATCTTCCCAAGCATCTGCCCACTTCCCAAGCAGATGCCACAGTCTCACTCTCAAGGGTTCACGGGTGCTCAGCTAGGGCTTCAGCTACAGGTGGAGGTCCTAGGAGAGGATATTTCAGGGAGGTTGAACAAGGCTGGAAGGCAGAAGGAACCAGGTATTTTCAGACAATAGCTACCACTTATTGAGAAGTTCCAGGTGTCTTGCATTGATTAATCTTCACAATAACCCCATAAGGCAATAAGGCTTTAACTGCATTTTAAGGATAAGAAGACAATCACAGGAGCCCAAGGAATCTTGGTTATGTCATGAAGCTTCTAAGTGGTGGGGCCAGGACTCATCTGCTTATCTGACTCGGGAGCTCATGCTTTTGGCCACTCCAGGTTCTGTCCCTATAACTGTGACTAGGACTAACCAAAAGAAAAGAAATTATGGAGAGAGGAGAGAAGGAGGACCAAGGGTAGAAATTCAGGCATTGTACTGTAGACAGAGCGCAGTCCTTGGAGGTTTTAGAGGAGAGGCATGAGAGCAATGTTTGGGGCAGGCTGATGTGCAGGGTTGGCCAGGGATTGAGGAAGTCATGTATTTCTGGCCACTGCAAGAGGTAAGAGCAGAGATGTTCAGGGCCAGACTTGGAGGGGGAAAAAGAGAGATTGTCAAAAAAGAGGAATCAGTGCCATTCCCCCAGTGACCAAAAATTGCATGAGTCAGTGACAACCTTGCAAACCTGAGCAACTGGAAGAAAAATGGCATCATGGACAGAAACAGACAATGACTGCTAGAGTAGAGCTAACGATCTGTCCATCATTATACACAAAAAGCATTCTTTGTATCTGTGCTGCCCCTTCAATACACATACAGAACACACACATACTTCCCCTGGTTCATGCCCAGGGCCCCTTGCCCATTCCCTTTTATCTGCCTCTAAAGGGCTCTCTGGAACCTTTAGGTTAGGGTGACCAACTTGCTCCTGCTTACCCAGGACTTTCCTTCCCAGTTTTAGCACTGAAAGTCCCACATCCCAGGAAATCCCAGTCGCAGGAAAATCAGGATGTTCACCCTGCCTTCCAGGCTTGGGGGCTCAGAACTCAGGCTACTGGGTGAACTCCGCCAGTTAGCAGTATGAGTGTGGAGACAAAGTATTGGGAGTCCTGTGGCTTTTGGAGAAGATTCAAGTCTAGGATAGGAAGGGGACATTTCTTTAAAGGGCTGGGAAGAGCAAGGAGCCAGCCTACCCCGAAAGCAAAGACACTACAGAGTTATGGTAGACAGCTATTGTTTGAGAGGCCAAGAGTCCTAGTGAAGTCCTTAAAGAAGGGAATTTCCCCAGAACAAAGTCAGATAGGCAGGCCTCTGGTGGAGTCACTAATATAATCACCCCTTAAACAAAAAGCCACTTCTCCCCAGCCTCCCTCCCCAACCAGGGGTAAGCAAAGAACTTCCAGGGCAAATACTTCTACTTGGGAAGGTAGGGGCCAGTCAAGATAACTGGTTCTGAGCCACAAACCCCCTTCATTTGAAGCTTCCTAAATTCTAGCCCAGTGCTGCCACCTCTTGTAATCTAATGTTGAACAAATAAAGACTCAAACCCATTCTATCAAAATGGCCTCAGGATGGGTTATCAGGACCACCTAGAGGACTAAGACACATTGCTGCCCCAGCCCCCACCTTGCAGATTCTTATTTAGAAGGTCAGGGTGGGGCCTGAGAATTTGCATTCTTAACAAGTTCCCAGGTGACATTGATGCTGCTGGTACAGGGACATTTTGAGAACTGTCATTCCAGAAATTCTTTCATGAAGTAAGCAGCAATTCACTCATACTCCACCACTCTCACTATGGGAATCATGGATATGGAGGCCAGTTGCAGATAAAATTTGGTTTATTTAACAGTCACTATCTATCAGGCACTTGGTATTTTCTCTTTAAGTCCTCACAACAGGCTTGTGAGGTAGGAATTGCACTCATTTTACAGATGAGGGAACTGAGGCACGGGTATTGACAGACCTGCCCAAGGTGACTCAACTAGTAATGGGAGACTTCATCCTAATATAGTTTCAATGCCTCCTATTTCCAGGTATGAATGGTGTTGAGCAAGATCCATAAGGCAGCAGAAATCATTTATCCTGATGAATGGTTCCCCTTGGAAGGGCATTTTGGGAGGCCTGAAAGTGCCCTACAGATCCACTTTTAAATAAGCTGAGTGTCCCAAGAGGGTCTAAGGAGGAACCAGCCAGAGGCAGCTGCCAGAATCCCAGAGAAACCAAAAGGAACTCATGATTCTTACACAGAAAATAGAGAATAACAGTCGTCTCTGGGGGCAGTGACCCTTGGTGGAAAAACTGAGTAAATGCAGAGGGAAAGACTGGTTACAGTGCCCAACGCTGACGTGGAGAAAGAGCATGGCCCAGGCGGCAGCAGCCTGGGTGCCTGCTGGAGCCCCCTCGGCAGGAGAGCCCGCAGCGGGAAGCGAAAAACGTACAGGCTCCGCCAACTCCAGGCAGGAGCTGGTGAAGGAATTCCCAAATGCAAACCCTGGTCCAATCTTCTAGCAGTCAGAGGAGGTAAGCATCAGGCCACTGGGAGGAGATCAGAATGTGCACAAAAATATGGAAAGAAGGCATGCGGGGCTGGGCTAGCGAAAACAGGGCAAGAACTGGGATTAGGAAGTGATGAGCAACCAACAAGGTGAAGGGTGGGACTCAGCCTTGCTCATCACCATGACCCAATTCCTGAGCACAGAGCTCTGGCTACTGAATGAGTCCCTCAGGACCAAGAGCAGAGCAAGCCCCATATGCCCCACCCCGCCACCCCGGGTCTATTATGGCCTCAAAATCTGAACTTTTGTACAGTTTCCTTTTTAAAAAAATCTCACCCAAGGATGTTTTATTGATTTTTAGACAGAGAGGGAGGGAGGGGGAGAGAGACATCGATCGGCTGCCTCTTGTATGTACCCCGACCAAGGATCGAACCTGCCCCCTAAGTATGTGCCCTGACCAAGGATTGAACCCGAAACCTTTCGGTGTATGGGATGATGCTCCAACTGAGCCACCCAGCCAGGGCTAGTTCCATTTTCGAGTCTTGGTGGATTTTATTTTTCCTTATTGTCCTCAGAGGAAGCCAAGGAAGCCATTTGATTGAGAACCAAAGAAAGGCTCTTTCAGCCCTGGCTGGTGTGGCTCAGTGAATTGAGTGCCTGCCTGTGAACCAAAGGGTCAGATTCCCAGTCAGGGCACATACCTGGGTTGGGGGCCAGGCTTCCAATAGGGGGCACATGAGAAGCAACCACACATTGATGTTTCTCTTCCTCTCTTCCCCTCCCTAAAAATAAATAAATAAAATCTAAAAAAAAACAAAACACAGTTTCAGTGGACATGGGGCTCCTTTCTCCCATCATGTCTCTGTGGCAAGAGGAATGACTACCAGGGGTGGTGTCTCTAACTATGGTTCTAGAGTACAAGGTCCCAAAATATGCAGGAAACAGCCACCACACAGTGTCCCTTATCTCTGTGGGATACAGACATGGCCTTGTCCTATGAGGGACAGGTCCTCCCTCATCTAGCCTGAGGTAGATGCTGGGCCCCAAGTCCGTGGATGCCCCAGCCCTTTGAGGGGTTCTGGAAATGGGGAGGAGGACTTCTACGCTGAGTCTGGGGTAGGAGCCCATTGGAGAGGTTCAGGTGACATGGCAGGTAATGCAAAGGTGGAGACAGAAGGCCAGGGGCTCTTGGAGCGGTGCTTCGAGGGTGACCGAGGGAGAGGAGGCCCGAGGCCCCTGGCTCAGTGTGGCGAACTGGCTTGGGGAATCCAGGTGGCAGAGGTGGTACCCGATATCCTCCTTGCTGATCCTGCTGAGAACGTAAAGGGAGAGGCACATGATATACTTCTTTCTCGCAGCATAGCCCCTGCCCCTCATCCTACCCACTCCTGCCCCCCGCCACCAGGCAGAAGGTAACACTGCTCGGTGTTGCAATCCAGTTCTCCCTGCTGCCCCCTTACCACAGCAAGCCGCAGAAGACAAGAGTGGAGCTCCCGAGCTGCATCAGGCTGGGACCCGCCTCTCAGAGTCTCCTGGAACACAGCAGCTGCCTCCTCAAAGCGCTTTGGTCCCAGAGTGATTAGGAAGAGGAAAGTTTAGGTACCAAGGAAGGGGAGGGGGGTCAAGGAACTTAAAAGCGCCCTCTTTCTTAAACTGGCCCCAGCGACTAATACCGCTGATGTTGTGACATTGTGGTACATTGAGCATACCTAGAAAATGCCAGTGTAGACCCAATCCCCACCCCATCCCACTCAAATTCCTCCTCTGCTTCCAGTGTCAGACCCATTACCTGCAGTCCCATCAAGGCCTTGCCCAGGCGGAAGAGGCCCCGGGGCCAGCCGGGCTGCAGGGTAAGGGCTACCTGGGCATCAACCAGGGCCCACACCGGCTGACCCAGCCGCTCATGGCAGAAAGAACGATTTCCAAATAACCTGATGAAGACAAAGTGACCAAAAGTCAAGTCCTCAACACCTTGCCTTGCCCTGACCTCCCAGCACAGTGGCCAAGCCCCAACCTACCGGTGGTCCCGGGGGTTGAGCTTCAAGGCCTGAGTGAAGAGGACCACGGCCTCATGGTAAAAACCATTTTGGGCAAAGTTGGTACCCAATTCTGGCGAGGAGAGAGGGTGGGAAGGGTCAGATGGGCTGCGCCAGGGAGGGTGGGGTGAGGACGGAGAGAGAGGCTCTTACTTGCCAGCTCCTGGCTCTGCTGTAAGGCAGCCGCCAGCAGTCCTGGAGATGCCTAGGGACCGGGAGAAAAGTCAGGCAGGGCCTGGGCCTCAGCCTCCCCAAATTCTTTTCTTTTGTTCAAACAAGTAACATTACAATTAGCATCAACCAACTCATACAATTCTCATGACAGCTCTGCAAGATGCTATCAGCCCTACCTTCCTGCAGAGGACAACTACCCAGGGTTAGAGAGTTGGTCTCTTGATCTTGGGGCCAAAGGACTCTTTCTATTGGTCACTGCCCTCAACCCTTAGATAATGTGACTTCCAGAGAACTCAGGCACCCCTTCCACTGGTTCCAACTGTGGTTCTGCCCATCTCACCTCTGCCTTAGGACTCTGTCTGGGGCTCTCTTCTTTTGGAGACCTCTCTTCCTCCTGGTTTATCTTCTCCAAAGGGCCTAGGCTCTTGCCTCGGGGCTCCTGGCTCAGTTCCTTCTCTCTGAGGGCACTGGGGGGCCAATCTCCAACCTTGCGCAAAGCCAGAGACACGAAAGTGCTAGATAGATCCAGTGCATCCTGTGAGTAGAAAGGAAAGGGTGGGGGGGATGATGAAGTATGTCCTGGAATGGGAGAGACCCCACTCTCCCACTCCAGGGATGGGCAGAGACCCAGAGAGGAAGAAAGGGGGCTCTCACTTCTTCCTCACCACACTGTCCCTGAGCTGGGTTCCCAGGGCTGGATGGGGGGCTCCCATTCCCATCTGGGATGGCCTCGACCTGCAAGGAAGGTAGACAGGTAGAGTTGGGATTTCCGGGAACCACATGCTTTCTGAGTCCCCACCTTCCTGGCACTTGGCGCGCTTAGTACCTGCCTGTAGACACTTACCTTGGGCTCCCCACTGTCCTGCTCCATGCGCTCCTGTCGTTTTCGGTCCTTTTGACGCTGTAATAATAATAATGAGGAGGATGTATTTTGAGCACTATATTTAAACACACATACACAATTTGTATCTTGAGACCAATTCTTCCTGTGTAAAATACATACTATACATCATGTACGTGCTGGGCTGAGTTTTGTATATACTCTCTCATTTAATCCTTGGAACTCTTGAAAGTAGGTGTTGTCCTCATTTTACAGGTGAAAAAGCAGACAAGAGAGTTACCAAGCAGACGTCTCCCAATAAACAGGAGGCAGATTTCGACCCAGGCAGCACAGTGTGACCGCAGGACTGCGGCACCACGCGGCCCCTGGGGGCCCTCCAGGCCCTGCGCCCCTCGGCCCCCGGCACAGGATCCAGGGCAGGCCGCCTTACGTTCTCTCCTGTTCTTCCGAAACTTCCCTCTTCCCCTCCCCCAAATCCCTGAGCTCCCCACTCCTTTCATCTTCCCGCTACCTTCTTCTTGAGTCGCTTCTTTTCTGCTTTCTGTTTCATGCGCTCCTCCTCAGCCACCAGCTCTTCAGCCAGGCGGTTGGCTTCCTGGAGGAGGAAGGGCAGGTGACAGGAGAAAAGAGAGAGGAGGAGAGAGAAAGCAAAAGGGAGGGATCTTGAAAGGTCCAGATTAGGGGAGGATACAGATATGGGACTGTGGGGCTGGAAGAACCCTGGGGGAAGGTGAGCCCCCTTCCAGACAGTCTCACCTCCTCAGTTGGCAGGAGCTTCTGGGGCATGGCCACCTGAAGCAGACTGTCCGAGCCGCTGGGGCAGGATGCCGAGGCAGAGGGTCTTTGAGGGTCGGGCTTAGACCCTTGGGGAGGGCACAGGAAGGACTTTTGGAGACCACAGTAGGTGCCCAGTCCCTCAGCACCCTTGCCCCGGTCACTCTGTTCTGTCATTTTCCCTTCATCATGGAAATGTTCCAGGAGATAATCTGTCAGGAGGGAGAAAGAGAAGGGAAAGAAAGAACATGAGAGAGGAGCATCTGAGGGCCAGGCCCCCCCAGGGTACCAGCCTTGATCCCTGGGCCCAACCCCTTCACTCCCCACCATGGTGCCACAGCTGCAGCCGCCCGCTGCTCCCATCCACACGGATCCGGTGCAGGCCCTGGGGGTCACTCTCCACCAGTCGTCGAAGAAAATCCACTACGTCCTGGGAGGGGGAGGGGAGGGGAGGGGAGGCTGGTGTTGGGGGAGAGCTCCGGGAGAGAGCAAGGGGCTTGGCTGGCTTGACCCCTCCACCATGGCAACCACAAAGCAGCCACCCAGCCTGGAGAACCTTACTGGCCAACCTGTCCCTGCTCAGCACCTCCAACACACTGCTCTCAGCTTTCACGGTACATCACCTTCCTCTTCTACCATTCCGCCTTCCCAAGGACTGAGTGTGCCTTTCAGCCCAGCCTTCTCTACCATCCAGTCAGTATCTCCTCCCCTGGACTTGCCACTAGGTCAGCCACTAAAATGAAGTCCTAAAATGGAGTCCTCTTAACCTCCTCTTCCAGTTATGCCCCCTGTCATATCCTTAAATAGAACAGCCCCCATAAAACCCACCTGGCGCTATCTCACATTTAACTGAGTACAATTCCTGGCTGGCCTCTTCCCCTGCATTTCATGTTTCTTCCCAAAACTAAGCTCTGAACAATTACTCTCTTACTCAGAAACTTCCAGTAATCCCCCACCGCCAGGGCCACATGCTGGCATCTAGCTCCTCCATCTGGGATTTGGAACCTTCCCAAAAGCTCCCTGGCCAACCTTTCTAACCTTCCGTTGCCATCCTCCTTCTGCCATCAGGCTCCTTCCAGCCTTGGGCTTTCCCCGCAGTGGTCCTCGAATCCCTCCTGGCTCTGAGCTGCTTTCTTACCACACCTTGTCTCACCTTCGAGGTCCAGTTCAAATTCTATCTCTCCTCAGAGACTTGCCAGACCCTATCTTCTCCAATTATCTCTACCAAGCTGTGCTCACACAGACTGTGCTATATAATTTAGAGCCTTACTATTCACTGCTTTTTATTGATCTCTTGATTGGCACCATGGAACTGGAAAGAGCACTGTGCTGGGGCAGAGCTGCTTGAATCCTAGTTCTTTCTGGCTTAGCCACTGCCTGGCTATTTGATTTTGGACAAGTTGTTTAATCTCTCTGGACCTCAACTTCCTCATTCACAAAATCAGGCAAGATCCTTCAAGGCCTGGCCCATACATTTTGTGGTTCTGATGAGAATCGTTTTCTCAGTATAAGCTAACAAGAACAGAAATCATCATGTCCCTGTGTGGCTAATCAGGCCTAACCAGAGCAGACCCTGACTAGGTGGTGGCCCACTGGCTGAGAAACTTAGAAGCCACATGAAACTCCAGAGTACTAAAGTAATGCATAGGCAGAACTCAGATCACTGAGGTATCGTCAACTCTAAGCAATATCAGATCCAAGGCTCCCCTCAGGAGACAGCACTGACTCAACAGCATCTTCATGTACATTGCTGGACACTTTCATCAAGTCTTAGTCTCAAACTCAGTTTCCTGGTGGGTTTATTTCAACTTCTAAAACTGGAACTTGGACATAAATAATGCATACTCTGGACCCATTTTAGCAGCCTCCCCAGGATGTGCCTGCCATTCAAATACATATCTTTCCCTAATCTTCAATCTCCCTCTTCCTCCTCATCCCAGCCCAGCAATCTTACAAAACAAAAACAAAAACAAAAAACCCTGACCTTTCATCTCTCCCCCAACCTCATTCAATGTTACCGTCTTAATTTACTACATGTCCACACAAGGTTGGGCACCGCCCCCAAAACGTTCATAAATCATCCCCTACCTCCTCGTCACTCCTCCTCCAGCTACAGCGATCTCCTTTTAAGTTCCTACAACACATCATGTACACTAAGAAGCTTCACTTCTAACATCTCAGGACTTTTGTACTTATTTCCTCTTCCTGGAATGCTCTTTCCATGGTAAAAGGCTCAATTTTTGTCCCCTTCAGATCTCTGCTTAAACCTTTGTCAAGAGGCCTTCTCTGACCACTCCTTTTAAAACAAGAAATCTCTCAACTCCACTCAGTGCTCCCTATCCTCTTTCTCCCTTTATTTTTCTTTGCACTTCTTATCTGTGACATGCTATATTGTTTGTTTATTGATTGGCTGTTCCTGCTAGATACTTCTAATTCATTTAATAGAGGGATTTTATCTGTTTGATCTACTGTTTTCCCAGCCTAAAACAGTGCCTGTTTTAGGTATATAGCTGGTGCTTAATGAGTGTGTGCTGAATGAGCAAAGGCAGAGAGGTTGATGAGATTATTCTCATTGAGAAGCAGTCAGGAGCTACATTTGAAGAACTCTGTGTGACCCAGGGAGTTTGAACTTTGTCCTATCAGTGATAGGAGTGGACCTGATACAGGAAGTGAAACACTCAAATAAAATAGTTTACGGGTGGAATGTTTAGTTAGAAAGGCATTACAACTATTCAGGCAAGAGAGGATGAGTTCTTGAACTAAGGCAGTGGAAGAAAGAGCAGGAGCAGGAGCAGGAGTGGATATGATGGGTTTGATTCAAGAGACATTTCAGAGGTAGATTTTAGTGACAAGACGAGTGAGGTAAAGGAAAGGGAGGAGTATATAGAATGATTTTCACATTTCTGGATTAAACAACTGGATGGAAGTTTGTGTTATCAACCAAAACTAAGATTAGAGGAGAAGCAACAAATTCACAAAGATAACGAATAAACTTCTGGACTTGTGAGTCTGAGGTTTTAGAGATAGCCAGGAAGCAGCTGGAAGTACCGCTTCTCAGTGTTCCGGAATCTGATCCTGTTCCCCGCTCAATAATCCTATCAACCTACGTGAAAACATCCAAATCCTATATTGGGCTAAGCCTTTCAAGTCACTTGCTGCCTTCTTTCCCACCTTATCTCCTTCAGTTCCAACCAAACTCTCTGCTCAGGTTTCATTTCAATAAAGTTCTTTTAATTTTTCCTTGCCTTAATGTCTTTGCTCACACTGTTTCCTCTTGTCATATCTTCCCCAAGGAACTCCTACCCACTCCCCAGTGCTCAACCCAGAGACCTTACTCGGCCCCACCCTGCCCACTTGAAGCATATATCCAGGCAGCATCCTCTCGGGGTTTCTACTGCTTCCTCCTCCGCACACTCGCCGCGAGCTCGAGAGCGGGGCCCGAGGCAACGCCTCTCCAGAGCCCCAGGAGCCCAGCGCCGCTCCCAGCCGGGCGGGGCTCAGCAAAGCAGGTTGAAAAGGGGCGTGGCAGACATAAACAGGGCGAGCCGCAGCTAGGAGTCCCCTTTACCTCTTCTCCGTAGTCTTCAGGACCGAATTCCCTGCAGAGTTTGGGGACAGCAGCGACCCCCAGCGGGCAGCCGGGCGACAGGGGACAGTCTACAGGAAAGGAAAGCCGCGGCGCGTCAAGGGGATGGTTTGGCTGGAGCCCTCCACCACCGCGTGAAGCTCAAAATCCTACTGAAAACAGACGGACCCAAGTGGGGCTGCCCCAGCCCTCCTGGATCCCCTCCCTTTCTGTCACACCTGCTTACCTAGCTTGATCGGCCCCACCGTCTTCGGAATCGGCGCCATCTCTCATCCACAGTGACCCGAAAGTGAAAGACAGTCACGTATTTGGTGGGCTGAAGGGAGGGGTAAGGCAAAGTGGATAGCCATTTTTGTTATGGGCAGAAGCCTCCGATTACGGAGCGCGAGAGAGTTCAGGGCGTCCCGGAAGCTTCTGGGCTAATAATGACGGCTCTTAGGATGGGGCGGAGTCCCGGCTGCCGCGAGCTTTGCTACCGCGAGCGTTGGGTGGTGCCGGCCGGTGGGAATCCTTAGGTAAGTTCTGGACACGGCGCTCCATGGACCAGGCGTCCCGCTCAAGTGGCCTCCTGCCTCCGCTCGCTCCCGTGCAGCAACTGTGGGCGCTAGCCGGGGACGCTGGGGAGGAGCAGTGGGAGAGAAGGCCGGCGGGCGCTCTCGGCGGGGACGTTCGTGGCTGGCCCCGGCCGTCGGTTGCCAGGCGCATCCCTTGCTTGGATCCACGGCCCGGCGGAGCTCCGGGAGGGCAGCGGTGGTGGGAGGCGTCTCCGGACACGGGAGAGCACCATGGGCTTGGCGCTGCGGATCTGAGGCAGAAGCCCGACGCCGGCGGACCGATCCCTCCCGCGCTGCAGCGTCTCCGTGCCGTGTTGCTGCGGCTGTACCGCGAGCGGGAGCAGCTCCTCCAAGCCCAGGACTGCGCCCGCCACTTACGCGCTGCCGTTCGCCTACTGAGGATGCTGAGTCCCGGTGCGCCCTCCCCCGGCCCCTTGCCTCATCTGTGCCGCGACCTGCTGCCGCAGCTTTCCCGAAAGGTAGTCCTGCGAACTGGCCTTCGGGAGACTCCCGAGCCGCTACTCCTGGCGCGCCCCGTCGGACTAGCTGCCCAGAGCCTGGATGCTGTCATCGAGATGCAGCTTCGTGCTCTGGGCCGAGCGCCCTCCAGCCCCAGCCTGTCATCCCAACTGGCCGACCTGCTGCTGGCGCTTCCCACCTACCATCAGCTGCAGGGAAAAGCCTTAGGCCACGTCCCAGGGGCAGCACGCCCTTTGTCCCCGGCCCGTGTGCTTTGCCTCCTGGCGGGGGAGCGGGGTTGCCAGGTGGCAGGTTGGCTGAATGAGGCGCTCAGAGGACTGGACTTGTGGGACCAGCTCCGCAGATGGTGGTGTGAGGAGCGGGAGCTGCTGCCAGGGCTCCTGAGCCTGATGGGGGACGTGGCAGATTCAGCCAGCAGTGGACTGGAAATTGAAGGAGCTGGAACCCTGTGGAGCCAGTACTGGACCCTGCTATGGGCAACCTGTGCTCAGAGTCTGGACCTAAACCTAGGACCCTGGAGGGACCCCAGGGCAGCGGCACAGCAGCTGAGTCAGGCAGTGGGTCAGGGTGAGTGGTGTGCTCGGGTGGACGTTTGGGAAGGCTGGAGTCCCTTCCTTCTCCCCAGTCACCTCACTCACCTGCCAGCCAGACTGCAAAAGCAGGCCCTTTAGAATGAACACCCTTGCCCCATACCCACCCCAGGGTTCAGGCTATAGCTTCTGAGCTTTCAAGACAAAGCCTTGCTTACCACCCGTCTTGAGTCTTGGGGGATGCCCCTCTCCTCTCCCATCACCGAGTGGGCAGTGGTTGTAGAAAACTGAGGCCTTGTCTGCAGGCTCCAGAGTCATTTCTTCCACTAGCATCCCTGCCTCAGGAGTGTGAGAAGGAGCTGGCTTCTTTGTGTCACAGCCTATTTCATCAGTCTCTTATCCGGAGCTGGGACCAAGGTGAGAAGGAACGGACACTGGAAGGGCCACTGGGAGTGACAAACCCCAGATGGCCCTTCCCCATCAAACCATTTTGTTTCATAACCTCCCATCCTCAGTCTTCTGCCAAGCCTTGGGATCTGCTGGTGATCAGAGCAGCCTTTCTTCATCCTGTCATACCACTGAACTTCTACAACAGCTCTTCCCTCCTCTCCTGGATGCCCTTCAAGAGCCCAGGTCAGGACTGATCCTCTGTCAGCCTCCAGGTGAGACAAGTGGTTGGAGTTGGGGAAACAGAATAGTTGAGGGTATCTCCTTTCTCCTTTGGTATGTTCTGAAACCTGCTTCTTCCCAAAGGTGCTCCATGAGCCCTCAGATACTTGTCCCTCCCCTCCCCAGGTCCTGTACCACTTGCCCTGGGGCTCTGCACCTTGCAGACAACCTTGCTCTGGTTTGGGGGCAGAGCTCAGCAGCATCTGGCAGCATGGGCCCCAGATTCCTTCCTGCTCCTGATCCAGAAGGACTTACCTGTAAGTAGTTAGGGACGGGGAGGGGAGCAGCCTAGGTTGGGCTCAGATCTCACTCCCTGTTTCTGCCAAAGCCTCTATTGCATGAGGCAGAAGCTCTGTCTAGCCTGGCCTCAAGGGAAAGCTTGGCCCTGGAGGTGGAGCAGCAGCTGGGCCTGGAAATCCAGAAGCTGACAATACAGATGCAGGTGAGCGGCACAGGGACTTTGACAGTGGCCAGTTTTGGATTTGGGGGGTAGGCACGGAACATTTCAGTGACTTGGAATCTTGGAATTTCTGCTAATTTTTTTTTTTTTTTACTTTGTTCATGTTTTGTTCTATTTAACTTTTTATTATGGAAAATTTCAAACATATACAAAAGTAGAGAGAAGAGTATAATGGATCCCCATATACCACAGAAGCTTTAACAATGATCAACTCCTGGTCAATTTTGTTTCATCTATGTATTCCACCCCTCCCCCATTTTAGGCTCTCATTTTGTCATATTAATAGCCAACGATGATCATTCTCTAGATCCATGATTTCATTAGGGGGTACAAAGTGGTGCTATTCCAATTTTATCATTCTTTTTTTTATTTATTATTTGAATTACTCCTATAAAGTGAAACGTGCTCTCATTAATTATTTGGTTACTCTGAGGTCTATTTTGCAGAGAAAAAGCAAAATAAATAATGGAATCCTTTTATTTACCAGTTTTTAATACAATGTTTTTCCTCTTTTTTAAACATGTAATTTGTATTTTTATTAAAGTAATACATGTCCATAGTTTAAAAGTAAAATAGAATATAGCCCTGGCTGGTGTGACCCAGTTGATTGGAGTGGTGTGTCCCATAGGTTACGGGTTCCATTCCGGGTTAGGGCACATAACCTAGATTGCAGGTTTGGTCCCCAGTTGGGGCACATATGAAAGGCAACCAAACGATGTGTCTCTCTCACATCAATGTTTCTCTCCTTCCCTTCCTTTCTCTTTAAAAGCCACAAAAAAATGTCTTCAGCAGAGGATTAAAAAAAATTTTTTTAATAATGTATTTCTAATAGTTTATTAACAAATTTCATTTTTTGTAAAAGGGGAAAAATTTATACGATCTGTAGAGAAACCAGAGTATATTTATTAACAAATTTTATTTTTTGTATAGTCAAATATATCAATATTTTGAGGTTTTTGGATTTTGTACATTTTTTCTTTCTTTAAAGATTTTATTTATTTATTTTTAGAGAGGGGAAGAGAGGGAGAAAGAGAGGGAGAGAAACATCAATGTGTGGTTGTATTTCACACGCCCACTGCTGGGGACCTGGCCTGCAACCCAGGCATGTGTCCTACACTGGGAATCAAACTGCTTCGCAGGCTGGTGCTCAATCCACTGAGCCACACCAGCTAGGGCTAAAAATTATTTTAAAAAGAAATATATTACAATTTTAGAAGACTTCTAATGAAAAAAAAATAGCACTTTAATTGTCCCCCACTCCCACCTCTGATTCCTGTTCCACAGTGGCAACTTTCATCCACTCTTGGCTGTTTCTTCTAACATTTCTTATTTTCTTGTAAATTTATGAATAAAACTATTATACTTCCATTTTAACTTTTCCCCATTTTGCACATTATCTATTCCTATTGTGGAAGATGCTTTTGTTCTCTCTTTCTACCCAAGTTTCTCCTCTTTGCCTTGAATAAGGCCACAGCTGTAGAGTCCAGTCCTTGCCCCTCCACTCCTTTTCTCTGCATCCCTACTACCTGCAGTGCCTTCGTGCTGTGGACCCCCTGACCCCTACCCCAGTTTAGCCCTAATCCACCCTCTGCATTTGTCTGTTGGGCATTTCTACCTCAATTTATTGTTGCCTTCAACTCAACATGCCCCACAGCAGGCTCCTCATGACTAGTGATGGTCATGGGAGCTCTAAGGAGGGAAGATCATAGTGGGCATGTGGTGACAGAAGCTCCATACAAGGGCCTATGGCTCAAGCTGGGGGCTTGGCAGCCTCAGAGGAATGGCAGAAGTTACTGGAGGTGGGAAGTTCATAATTTCTTGGAGGAGTCATGGGGAGATAGCCTGACCAAAGCAGAAGCTCCCTTTGTGTGTAGTGTGTGCATGTGTGTACACATGCACATGCGCACACATGTGTCTGCAATGGGGGTGGGGGACTATGGAGAAGTTAGCAGGTGGAGAGCACTGAACACTAGTCCACAGATTTGAGGCTTTATCTGATGAGTGATTAGGGGGGCCACTGTAAGAACAGGAGGGGAACAATGAAGGTGGTGATAGAGTTTGATTCAGCTATAGTGGTCAGGGTGGAAGGGAGGTGAGGAGATATAACATCAGAAGGATCTAGCTCTTGGTAGTTGTGGTGAGAACAGAGCAAAAGGAACAGGGACAGGGTGCCCACCATGTGAACCAAACACTGTGCAGAGCACTCTGATGCCTTGCTCCTCTGTCTGATGATTGCATCGTTAGGCGTCTGCCCTGGACATTCTACCACATACAGAATTGGGATTAAAAAGAGTCCAATGTTGTGAGCTTTTCCCCCAGCTGGACTGTAATATCCCAGAGAGAAAGACTGTCTCTTTGTATGGCCTTGCATTTCCTGAGTGTTGAGTGCAGAGGTTCCTTACCAGTATCAGTTGACAGCAGAAAGAAGAGGTTCTGATTTTCAGAAAAGAGAGAATGAGTTTGGATTTAGAGAGGCTACTGTCAGGATGTGTACCAGGAACCACATGGGCTCTACCCTCACTCCCATGTCTGGCCCCCCAGGCTCCTTCCTCTCTTTGGGTTTGCTGGCACCTAGGCACTTTTTCTTTACAGACCTGCCACTACATACCCCATTTCTTAGGGCTCTTCTCCTCCAAGATGGGCTATAGGGACATCCCCTGCCCCCCGCTTTTTTTTGGCTGTCTTCTCCAAAACCAAAACGTATGAAACCAAGGAAACTAAACTAGCACATGGGCCTTTTCTTGCTTTACGGGTTACACTGTTCTGGAGAAATGTAAATGGGCTGTCAGAATACTCAGTGTAAGGTGTAAGGACATCTCAAAGGTTCCTGAATCTCAAAGTTATAGTCCTTGCTCCTGATCAACACGCAGATCCTGCCTTCCTTTCATAGACAATAGCCAAAAGATTGTACAGTTCCCCTTTCTTCAACCTCTCCCTAGCATTTGCTTTTGAACATTGCTCATGGTGAGAGTGTCTCTTTCTTTCTATTAAGTTTCCTATAGAAGAAAATTAACTTGGAGAACTTTCACCCTCTGAATCGAGTTAGAGAGAGCAGGATAATCCTAGGGCAATTGTCCATAATCTTTCCTGGGTCCAGAAAAACCCAATAAAAGTGATGGCATCTCTCCTAGAAAATGCCTGAGCCTAAACAACTTTGCATACAATTCTCTTCCTGGGCTTTTTGGATGCCAGATTAAACACCTCAGATTTAGAAGAGCAACAGAACTTGACAAGTCCCTAACAGATAAGCCCCTTTTACTTTCTCCCTACCCCCACAGCTCCTACCTGAAGAGTCACTAAGTCTCTTTTTTCAAGAATGTCATAAACAAGCTACACAGGGCTTCGAACTTCACATGCCACGGGGTCGGTACTGGCGACATCATCTTCGTCTTGGTAACTCCTCATTCCGGCATCCTTAGGGTTCCCAGGCGGTAAGAGTATCCGGAGCCCTCCAATTCCTGGTTTCACTCTTCTCCATCCTTGTCCTTACTCCCAGTGCCTCCCCAACCCCACATACACATTGGAGATCCTATTCTCTCACCCCAATCACTCCATTAGGTGCTTAATGGATCTCAGTAGCCTTACAGCCTGATCTTTCTCTTCTGTCATTCCAGAACTCCCCAGCATTCCTAGTGAGTATGCTCATTTGGTGGTCCACACTGTACTGGAGCCGGTATTGCAAGGATTGCAGGGGTTGCCACCCCCAGCCCAGACCCCTGTCCTTGGCCAGGCATTGACAGCCATCCTGGGTGCCTGGCTTGACTACATCCTCACCCACAGGATTCGATTCAGGTGGGGAGAAAAGAAGGTAGTGGCAGGGGGAATGAAAGGAACTGGAAAAGGGGAGGGGATAGATGGGGCAGAGCAGTTTAGGGAGACCAGAGGGTGAGGTGGCCGCATTGTACCTGGGCCTTCAGCCTGCAGGGGGCACTGCAGCTCAGACAAGATTTTGGAGTGGTCCGGGAGTTGCTGGAGGAAGAGCGGTGGGGCCTGTCTCCTGAAATTCGCCAGACTCTGCTCATGCTCAACATCTTCCAACGGCTGGATGGGGCTCTGCTGTGTCTATTGCAGCAGCCCCTGCCCAAGACTCAAGTCCACAGAAGGCCTCTCTGTTGCTGTGAGTCACTCCCCCTTCTCAATTCCAGGCTCTTTCGGCCCTAGCTCACTACTTTAGGTAGCCCATCCCCCACGCTAATCATTGATCTGGCCTCAGCCATCCCCCAGCAGCCGCCTACTTGCCACTCCTGCCTTTCCAGGTGCATGTAATGACGTCCAGACCTCAGAATTGCCCAGCAGCAACCTCAACAGTCTGGAGAGCTTGGAGCCCCCGCTTCGGCCTGGAGCACCTCCAGCTGAGATAGCTCAGCTGCTAAGCACGCTGTGGGGTGGGGGACCTAGCCCCCAGGCTTACCTGGTGGGAAATCAACAGGCCTGGCTTGCCCTGAGGCAGCACCAGCGCCACCCTCGTTGGCACTTGCCTTTTCTTTCCTGCCTGGGGACCAGTTCTGAATCCTAAAGAGCCTAAGGAGCCTAATCAGCAGCCAGAAAGTCAGCGTTCTACATTTCTGGCTGGGAAAGCCCAGACATTTGTAACTGCATGTTAAAGAAACGTACAGTTGGAAGCTTGGAAGAATGCATACCTAAGAACCACAAACTACACAGAGCCTGGATTTACAAGCTAAGAATCCAAGATTACTCCAATACCTGGAATCCAGCATAAAGGCAAAACCATAGCCTGGAACCTGGAGGTCAGCCTCTCTGGAGGCTCAGGTCTAATTCCCCATTGATAAAGATCTCTCAGGGCTAGACGCTGGAAGGAGGGCTCTAGGGTTGCCTCCCAGAGGGAAAGAAAAAGGAAAAAGCACTAGAAAGCAAAGAGCCTAGATGCCACTTCCCCTAAGTCCCCAGAGCCAGGATAAACACAAAGTTAACTCATCAGAAACCAGAGGCGAAGTAGGCATTTCTGCAGCTGGGTCAGTTCCAAAGGTTGTATTACCCTGTACTTTCCTCCCCATTACTACTTTCAGCCATTGAAGCATAATGGGCTTTAGGACCTTGACGTTTAAGCTTTGGTCACTCAGAGTTCAGCATGTTTAATCTTAAATTACCTGAGTGGGGTTTATCCCCTCCCCTAGTAGGGGCATAATCCCTGTGCTGGTAATGGTATCTTTCTTGGAGGGGACCAGCATTGAAGATGGCATGTTAACCTAGATCGGGCATAGCAGGGAACGCGAGGGGATTTCGGCAGAAGACGGACCTGTTAGCGGAGCCAGGTGCAAGCAGCTTTTACACTTCATTTATTGCCTTTACTGTGATACAACAGGGCTACGAATGATAGGCATTATTTGCTGATCGCTTACTTTGGGCCACTCTCCACCCTGTGCCGAAAACACCTCTCCATTCTGACGGGCCTCCTTGTCTCGCGCTGGGTGCTAAGAGGTCCGCGGCCAGCAGTCCGTACTCAGCGGAAGCTGGGGGGCGAGGCCCGAGCGTCGCGGCCATTCACAGCCCCTTCCACTCACTACGCTCCTGTTGGGCGAGTGCTTCCGGAGCGGATGTTACCATGGCGGCGGCCTTAGCTCGGCTCGGGCTCCGGGCTGTCAAAGAGGTTAGGGTTCAATTCTGCCCTTTCGAGAAGAACGTGGAGTCGACGAGGTACTAGGGGAAGGGAGTGGGAATAGAAAGGGGCGGGCTTCTCTCCCGCCGTGGGGCCAACCATCCTCGGCCCGGCGCTCACGCCGCTTTCCCACCATAGGACCTTCCTCCAGGCTGTGAGCAGCGAGAAGGTCCGCTCCACCAACTTTAACTGCTTAGTGATTGCGGATGTGAGGCATGACGGCTCCGAGCCCTGCGTGGACGTGACTTTCGGTGGGCACGCCTGGGGAGTCAGGCGGGAGGGGCGGCAGACAGCCCGCACCCCCTCGGCACCGCTGTCTTCCTACCTGATTCGTTCTTTTCTTCCCCAGGAGACGGGCATCGCTTGGTTATGCGCGGCGCCCACCTCACCGCGCAAGAAATGCTCACTGCGTTCGCCTCCCACATCCAGGCCAGGGCCGCGGCGGAGAGCGGGGACAAGCCTGGAGCTGGTGCTGGGCGCTGACTGCGTGAAAGAGACCAACAGGCAGATTTTAGCCTAGGACTTACAAGGACGCTTATCCAAGAAAAGCTTGACTTAATCACTCAAATCACTGTCTTGAGGGCTACAGGGAGCCCTCCCCGCCCCTGTCACCAAAAAAAAAAAAAAAAAAAAGAGAGAGAGAGAGAGAGAGAAAGCCCTGTGACTACAAATCTAATCAATGCCTCTAGAGAGAGACAGGATGTGGGAGGAGTCTGGACAAACTTGAATTTATTTCAGTTTCTAACCATCACTCACTGCTTAACCGTTTTGAATTTGACTTTTCGCCCACTCACTCAAGGTACCTCTTACTCTTATTAGCTAAATCTAATTTCTGTTCTAGTTCTAATCTAGAACTAATCTAGTTCTGTTTTCTCAGTCCTTATCTTTCCATCTCATTAACACTTGCTACTTTTAATTCACTCCCTGTAGAACTTTTCTTCCTTTTTCAAAAAGAAGTCTTGACCATAAAGGTAGACTTCTTTTTTCCTCTCTGTTTTTGGGGCATCTCATCTTCTGACATAACTTGAACTACCCTCTGAGGTTAAATCCTGCATTTCTGTTTGTATCTAACCTCAACTTCTGTGCTATAGTCAGGTTACCTACTCCAGATTTTCTCCAAATCCCACCAACACTCTTTGACCAAAATAGAATTGATAATCTACATACACATATATTTGCCTCTCCTTCTGACTTCTCAGTTCCTTTAAAGGCACTTCATCTACTCAGCCACCTGGGTGGAAACCACAGCATTATCTCTGGTTCTGCCATCTCCTTTTCCCTCATACCCAGTCAGTAAGTTCAGAATATTCTGTCTTAAACTAAAGTTCCTAAAGTGTTCTCTTCATTCCCATTCACTCTTCTGTACTATTGCATTTTCCTACCCTGTCTCCTTTTTTCTCATCATTTTTGCTGCTGTTTAATTTTACCTTTCCAAACATATCACTGGTGAGGCCTCACTACTACTTGTTTCAGAAAACAGCACCTAAAGTACTTTTAATACTGAGTTACCACCCATTAGTGTAGATCATAAAATCAATTTAAGGGGTTAAGTCAGTCTTTCATAAACAAAGTAAAATAGAATAAAAAGTATCAATGCATGGCACATGGAATGGGAAGTATTATTTTAAGAAACTTGTTTTAAGTGTATATACACCCATATATAATCTATATACATGTATATGTAGATATATAAAGTACATGTACATGTGTTGTGTCTGCACGTACTTGGTTGCAATATAGATTTTTTTCATTTTTTTTAATGTGGGTTCTAGGAAAGGATGGTTGCTAGCTACTGGTTTAGAGAACTTCAGAATGCTCCGCTAGGCAATCAAGGATCTCTAGACACTACCAGCTGGGTACTTTGCCAAATACATTTTCCATGACTTTCCTACAGCATTACTACGCTGCTTCTATGCCTAAAAGGGTTCCATTTTAAAAGGTCTGTTTTTTTCCCTCTGTTTCCCTCTGTTTTTTAACTTCATGGTAGTTAAAAAAAGAAAACTACCATGAGGCAGTATAGTGTAGTAAAAATTAGAATGCCTGAGGTCATGTGATTTTGGAAAAATTATTTAGTCTCTCAGTGCCTCTTTTCTCCTTTGTAAAATGGGGATAATAGTATCTACCTTGTAAGACTGTTGAGAAGATTTAAGTGAATTGACATCTGTTAAATACCTAAAGCATCACTGGGAGTGAACTAAGTGTTATGTAAGAGGCCTTATTGTTTTACTTTGTGTACACCATGAGAAGGCAGGGTTCTTAGGAAAAGACATTAATGTTGGGAAAAATAGAAAGCAGCAGGAAAAGAGACCAAATACAAGGTGGATTGACTATAAAAAAAAGCGATAGGCATGCGTTTACAAGAGTTGAGCAGGGCTGTTGAGGATAGGACATAGGGGACAAAACTCACTCATGGCTCCCCAAGAGTCTAAGCCAACTCAATGGCATGTAATACACAAGAAGCTTTATGCTACAGTCAAAGTTACAACCTAGAATCTGAATTCTCCAGCACTGGTTAATTGGCCATTACCTGTGGCCAGACTTAACCACTCTTCATTTGTAAAATGGGGATAGTGCAAACATTGCTTCAGGTTGGGGCTATTTTCTCTGTCCCCAGCATCTCACATAGTGCCTGATACAGTGTGTGCAATAAACATTTGTTGAACTTTCAAATATTTAGCATCTATCTTGTGCCTATAACTTTTATTAGTACCAAGATACAAAGATGAATACTAAAACTCACGTATGTAATAAGTGCTACAATAGAGATGTGGACCAGATGCAATGGTAGCAAGAAAGACAGGAGTGACCATTGGGTTTGGTTAGAAGGTGATTGCTGAATGAGCAAAAAGTGTACCAGTGCAGGGTGGGGCCAGAAATCAGATTATAGAGAAATAGGAAGAGGACATGCAGCATAAAGTATTTTATATATAATTATTTGGATAGGAGGTGTGGTAATAGAATAGCATAAGGGTATGTGATGGGGTGCCCCATGTTGGGTGCCAGATGAGGGGTGTGCCACATCCTGAGCTGAGTCCCCTGGGTTGCCACAGAGGGAGGAAAATAAGTCACTCCAGACACTTATTGGTCAGGAAAAGGGGGTGGTAATCCCCTCTAGTGGAGAATGCCCCGAGCCCTTCTCTTGAAGTGGCTTTTATTGAGAAGATATGCACAGGGGTATACAACATGGATGCAAAGGTCATCAATCAGTGTCAAAAGGCTATTTACAGAAAATAGATAGAGATCATAGAGAACAATGGTAGGAACAGAGATTTGCCTCAGGTCAGGGTCTGTGAGACATGGCCCTGAAACCTGGAACACTGATCTCATCCTGTGCTCCAACCCCAAACATCAGTACTCATTAACTCAAGGGCATTGTTAGCAAAGTAAATTGCGTAGGATTTAATGCAAACAAAGGCCTAATTGTCCCTGAAAACTGCCTGTTCCAGTTCAGGGCTGTACCTGCCTTTTGTATTATTTCACTGACCCAGTCAGGTGGGTAGAACAGAGCAGCCAAGAGATAAGGAGACTTCTTTCAGATAGAATGAGGACTCTCGCCATGGCAGAGCCGAGAGGTGAGGGTCTTTTGCCCCCTCTTCATGTCCCCTAAGTCCTTCCCTGATGGCCCCTAAGCGACTGTGCCTGTCTTAGGTTGCCCCTGCCATCGAGGGGTCTTACCCATCATTGACTAACCAGGGCCAAGCAAGGTGATGCAAGGGAAGGCCTCTGCCAGGGGTACAGGTTTTGTCTCCTCAGTGGCCTATCTTCCCAAGGCCTCCTTGCCTAGCTCCGGCCTTGGGGCCCTCTCGCCTGTTGGTGAAACTACAATCCCTGAAACCAGGCAGGACGGTTTCCAACAGGTGTGGAATAGGGTTTTAAAAAGATGATAAGGATTTGCACTTTATAAAAATACCTTTTGTGGAGATGAGACTGTTCCACGAGTGACTACTGCCCCCTAGGACAGCTAGATCCTGGTCAAACCAGATTACTTCCCCAAAATCCCCCAGAGACTGATGGACCTGTTCACTATGCCCCACGCATGCCAGTTCCAGAAATGGAAAGCACTATTGCCCTGCTCCAGACAAGGCATTTTCCCCTTATCTGGGGTGGGTCACACCCCTTAGGGCCTGCCAAGTGGCATGGAGAATATTTCATGTCTTGCTGCAACCCAAGATGCAGCTTATATGTAAATTCCCTTAATAAACTCAATGTAACAATGGAGTTGTCAGCCTCTTTTTCCAGTCTCTCAGCCCCAGGAGATTTTAACACCTTTTATGCTGAGCTGTTTGTTACAAATAACTGAATCTAAGTTGCATTCTGAACTACCATCAAAAGTAATGTCAACTCTTCTAGGTCAAACTGAGGTGTTTCTTCTTAAAGACTTCCCTAATCTGGACATAAGTGACCCTTTCCTTAAATTCCTTTGTTTCCTGGGTTGTAGAAAAGAAAAAAACATTCTCTAAGTTCATGCACCGCTATTATGACAGGCTTCTTCTAGATAAGGAATCCTAGTCTGAGTGAAGAGATGTCTGAAGTCAAGGTTGCTAAAAGATATTGCTGCAACAGATCTCAGGCTTCCCATTGGGTCCACTCCAGCACCCTCCATTTCACTAGGAAAGTGGGCAAAATGGCCAGTTTGATTCAGATACACCTGGATTCCAAGCAGTCCCTTTCTGTCTTTGACCAGGGCCATATTACTTGAACATTCTAAGCCACAGTTTTCAGCCACCAGATTGGGCCATGGTGAAGCCAAGGGTCCTTATGAGTTTGATTAAACTGAGTTTTAAATCATGGCCCTAGAAATCAGTCTGTCTCCACATAGATACCCCTCAGAAACCTAACCGTTCCCCTATTATCAGCGACCACCACTTCCCCAGGCAATAAAAGACAGTAGCCCAAATGACTAATGGTCACATGGTCTTGACCTCTGGCAGGCTAGATAACATCTTGACCTAAGTTGTTTCAGTTCCTGGCCCAAAGGTGGAGGTCCCCCCACTACTGTCCCATGAAGCCAGACACTTGGAGACGAAAATACACATCAGAGCTATCCTCAAGACCTGAAGAAATGATTCATTCCCCTTAGCTCACTAACCAATAAGCTCCCAGCAGGATCGGGAACCCCTAACCCACGATGTCTTGTGATTTTGCTCTATATAATCTATAATCTACCCGGTATGCCGTTGGGGTGTTCCGACTTTTGAGTAATAACTTCCCAGTTCTCCTGGATGTCACCGTTAATCAATAAAATAGCCAATATTTCTCCACTGCAATTCTCAGTGTTTAGCGGTTAGCTCTGCTAGCGTCAGGTGAACGAACTCTCTGTTGCGCTACAATGGGGGCAGCGTTAATTGTAAATCACTCAGGATGGCATCTCTGGTATACATAATATATACTTTAAAACAGCCTAATGTGACATTATCTTTTCTCGACTAGCCCGTGGACTCCGCGAGGACACCAAATAAATAAACGCTAAACGCAGACCCACTGGATGCGCCCCAGGGAGCCTTACGCGGATCCTGCGCCATGCACCACGCCTCGAACCCGATTCCGGCCTATCTGACGTGGCCGGGCGGGACTTCCGGCAAGATGCGGAAGCGTAGCAGGAAGCGCACGCGGGCTGGTGCGACTGACAGGTCGGTGGCCGCCCCGGAGCTGCGCTGGAGCTGGGGAGCCAGGGCAGAATCCGGGCTCATTTGCCGCCTCTCGGAGCTCCCACGACGCCGACCTCCGTGCCAGGATGGCTCGGGGCGAGCGGCGGCGCCGCGGAGCGCCGACAGATGGAGGGAGAACGGTTGAGGGAGCGGCTCGGGGCTGCCCTACGCGACGGGAGAGGCGGATCGGCGTGGCCCGGGGCACGGTCGGGGGAGCAGTTCTGGCCATCGTGGTCTTGCCTCTGGCCCTGACCTTGTCGGGAAGCTGGCTGCTGGCCTGGCATCGTGCACGGCGGGCAGTCACGCTGCACTCCGCGCCCCCGGCACTGCCTCCCGACTCTTCTAGTCCAACCGTGGCTCCGGACCTCTTCTGGGGCACCTATCGCCCACACGTCTATTTCGGCATGAAGACCCGCAGCCCGCAGCCCCTCCTCACCGGTAATCGGGCCCCAGCGGGCAGGCAGGCGAAGTCTTAATCTGGGCGCCCCAGCTTCCCTCCAAAGTAGGGGTGGGGAGGAGTGGATCAGGAGAGTAATGAAGAGGGATGACCCTGAAGTTGCGAAGACCCAAAGGGACAGGATCCCTGCTCTGTCTTCGACTTACGTGGCCATTCTACCCCCCAGGACTAATGTGGGCACAGCAAGGCGCCGCCTCAGGGACCCCTAAGCTCAGGCACACGTGCGAACAGGGGGACGGCGTGGGTCCCTATGGCTGGGAGTTTCACGACGGTCTCTCCTTCGGGCGGCAACACATCCAGGATGGGGACTTAAGGCTCACCACTGAATTCGTCAAGAGACCTGGGGGTCTGCACGGAGGGGACTGGACCTGGAGAGTGACTGTAGAGCCTCAGGTCAGGGCTTCAGGATACCCTTCCCCCAGCCCAGACACACTCCACCTTTCCTTTGCTGCATACAAATGCAGTATACAGTAACAGCAGGAGCTCTGAGTTTGGCTGCCTGGTTTGAACCGGACTGCCTGACTTAAACACTTGCCTATATGACCACTTCTATTTACTATCTCTAAGCCTTGTATTCCTTTTCTGTAAAATGGAGATAAAAATAGCACCTAACTCTCAGGATATTAAGAATTAAAGAAAATATGTAGAGTTCTTAGCATAATATGTGGCACAGAAATACTATTATTTCCCAGAGAACCCTGTGCAAGGATCTTTCTCCCATACCACTAGGTGCTTACCCTCAGTGACCCACAACACTGGCAGATATATGTTGTTTCTCATGTTGTTCCTACCTGGTGCCCTCACTAAGTCTGATTCTCAAGAGAGAATGTCAATCTAATGCTATGTTTTTCTGTCCTTCTTCATCATCCAGGCCTTAGGTACCTCTTCCCTCCCTTTGGTGTCCCTGTTCTTCTATGTGGTGACAGATGGCAAGGAAGTCCTAGTGCCAGAGGTTGGGGCTAAGGGGCAGTTGAAGTTCATCAGTGGACACTCCAGTGAACTTGGTGACTTCCGTTTCACACTTCTGGCACCAACCAGTCCAGGGGATACTGCTCCCAAGTATGGCAGGTAATTGGGGAGAATGTGGGGTGTTGGTATGGGTGGTATGGATGCTGGCTTAGCCTGGTTTCTAGCTCCTCCACTCTACCCTCGTTCCACCAGGCTCCATGTCCTCTGCATTGCTGGGACCTTCTCATCCTGACTCTTGGTTACCTCATATTTCTCTTTATAATTCCTTCCACTTCCACCTGAATAATATTTCTTGTTTATCTTCTTCCCTTCAAGCTACAATGTCTTCTGGTCCTCCAACCCAGGACTTCCCTTGCTGACAGAGATGGTGAAGAGTCGCCTGAATAGCTGGTTTCAGCATCGGCCCCCAGGGGCCTCCTCTGATCGCTACCTTGGCCTGCCAGGATCTCTGAAGTGGGAGGACAGAGGCCCAAGTGGGCAAGAACATGGGCAAGGGCAATTCTTGATACAACAGGTGACACTGAGAGTCCCGTTTTCTGTGGAGCTGGTGTTTGAATCAGGCAGTGCCCAAGCAGGAGGAAACCAAGCCCTGGGGCAGCTGTCAGGCAGCCTGCTGACCCAGGCCCTGGAGACCCATGCTAAAGTCTTTAGAGAGCGCTTTGAGAAGACCTTCCAGTTGCAGGAGAAGGGCCTGAGCCCTGAGGAGCAATCTTTGGGTCAGGCTGCCCTCAGTGGCCTCCTCGGTGGGATCGGCTACTTCTATGGACAGGGTCTTGTGTTGCCAGACATAAGGGATGAGGGGTCTGAGCAGAAGGTGGACCCAGCCCTCTTTCCACCTGTCCCTCTTTTCACAGCAGTGCCCTCCCGGTCATTCTTCCCACGAGGCTTCCTTTGGGATGAGGGCTTTCACCAGCTAGTGATCCAGCGGTGGGATCCCCGCCTTACCCGGGAGGCCCTGGGCCACTGGCTGGGGCTACTCAATGCTGATGGCTGGATTGGGCGAGAGCAGGTGCTGGGGGATGAGGCCCGAGCCCGGGTACCCCCAGAATTCCTGGTGCAACGGGCAGCCCACGCCAACCCCCCAACCCTGCTTTTGCCTGTAGCCCACATGCTAGAGCATGGTGATCCTGCTGACTTAGCCTTCCTCCGCAGGGCTTTCCCCCGCCTGCATGCCTGGTTCTCCTGGCTCCATCAGAGCCAGGCAGGGCCAGAGCCACTATCTTACCGCTGGCGGGGTCGGGACCCAATCTTGCCAACCTTACTGAACCCCAAGACACTGCCTTCAGGGCTGGATGACTATCCCCGTTCTTCACACCCTTCAGCCGCTGAACGGCACCTGGACCTGCGATGCTGGGTGGCACTGGGTGCCCGTGTGCTTATGCAGCTAGCAGAGCAGCTGGGAGAAGCTGAGGCAGCTGAGGAGCTGCGTCCGCTGGCTGCCTCACTGGGGGCAGAGGAGATCCTGGATGAACTACACTGGGCCCCAGAGCTAGGAGTCTTTGCAGACTTTGGGAACCACACAAAAGCAGTGCAGCTGAAGCCTCAGCCCCCTCATGGGCTCGTGCGCGTGGTGGGCCGACCCCACCCTCGATTGCAATACGTGGATGCCTTGGGCTATGTCAGTCTGTTCCCCTTGTTGCTGCGGCTGCTTGACCCCCACTCATCGCGCCTTGGGCCGCTGCTGGATGTTCTAGCTGACAGCCGTCATCTCTGGAGTCCCTTTGGTTTGCGCTCCCTTGCAGCCTCCAGCCCCTTTTATGGCCAGCGCAATTCAGAGCACGATCCTCCCTACTGGCGGGGTGCTGTGTGGCTCAACATCAACTACCTGGCACTCGGGGCTCTCCACCACTATGGGCATCTGGAGGGTCCCCACCAAGCCCAGGCTGCCAAGCTCCACAGTGAGCTCCGTGCCAATGTGGTGGGTAATGTGTTGCGGCAGTACCGGGCCACAGGTTTCCTGTGGGAGCAGTACAGTGACCGGGATGGGCGGGGCATGGGCTGCCGCCCCTTCCAGGGTTGGACCAGCCTTGTCCTACTGGCCATGGCTGAAGACTACTAAAAGGAGGGCGTGGGAGGGGAGCCAGACCCCTTGTGCCACTCTAGACTAGAGGGACCAGGTCTCTAGCTTCTGCCCCCAGCCCTCAGATACCAGTGCTTCAAACCCTCATCTCAGGTGTCTCCTTACTATCATCCCACACAGCCCTGGGGTGAATGTGAATTCAGAGTCTATTTTTCTAAATAAATTGGAAAACCATGACAAACTTGTTTTTGCCAACTTTGCCTCACCAAGAGGTCTCAAACTCAATCCAGGCATTAGGGCTGCTGTCTTCAGAGAAGGTGGGAAAAATGGCCAGTCAGGTCAAGTGCAATGAAGTGAGTTGAGCACTAGTCCACCCAAATCCACAAGCAGCTGGTTCACATCTCTTTAATGAGATCAAAGGCTCCTGTGTATGTCATTGGGGGTAGAGCTAGCACAGTCCCCCACACATGGTCCCTTTCCTCAGGACTCAAGCCCTTTCAGGCACATTTCCAGGAGGGCAGGGAAGAGGCCAAGGAGAACTCAAGGAGCTGGGACCAGGGGTCTTTCTAGTGGGCAAGTAATCCACCCACCCTCTTAAAACTGCTTATGGGATGTCCCCTTCACTGGAAGCCAGCCCCGTGGAAGAAACTTGGGGTATGGGATCTAGGGGCAGTGCACAAGCGGAGTGGTCCCCCAGATCTGACCGGGTGGCACTAGCCCTAGCATCCTTGACTGGCTCGCCCTGAGTGGAGTCAGGACAAGGGCAGAGCTCGATGCCCGAGTCACCAGTCAGGCGGCGATAGCGGCAGGAGGGGGGTGTGGGGGCAGGGCTCACCCCTGCCCCAGGCTCACCCTCCTGATGAGGGGGGGCACGCTGGTGGGAGGAAACACCTTCCACGTTTGTTCCCTCACAGTGGGCAGGGCAGCTAGAAGTGGAGGAGCAGCAGGTACATTCCCTGGAAGCAGTCAGGGGGCAGCCTGGGACCGCAGTGTAAGGAGGTGGTGGTGTGCCTGGGCGGTGAACCACATCCTCATAGGCTGGGGGTTTGAAGGCGCTGAAGAGGCCTGCAGGAAAGAATGACATGGTTGGTTGAATGCAACCAGGGATGAGGTGGTAGTCTCTTTACTATCAGGGAAAAGTGCGCTTTGAAATGTCTGAAAACAGAATGTGGGGATGATTCAGGGTCCTCATTTGGGAGGGGTGACTGGCAGTGAGCCCAGAGCCTCGAGTCACTCACGAAGGTCAAGCAGTGAACTGGTAGGAACGGGGCCAGCCCCATGGCACGCCCCGTGGTAGGCCAACAAGTTGATCTCACGCTGCCGCTGCTGCTGCTGCAGCCGGAGTTTAGCTCGTCGATGACGGAAGGCGCAACAGCAGCTAAAGAGGATGAGGACAGTCCAGAGCAGCCAGAACCCTGCAGGGGGCAAAGAAGTAAAGTCTTAGATACCTCCCATGCAGAGAAGGTC